GCGGCCAGTAGCCAGCGGTCAGCGGCCAGCCAACCGGCACCCACCTTGCCTTTCCCAGATGGGCCTGTCTGCAGAGACCCTCCTCCCTCCAGGTTTGTAGTGAAGGGAGGGCGGGAGGGGCTGGAGAGCAAAGCCCCAGGTACTGTAAATGGAAACTCTAACGGACAGCCTGCACCTGGTGTCTTTGCTTCCTGTCCAGGGCCTGTGTGCACATGGCCTCACACGGGCTCACCCGGGCTCACTCAGGCTCCCAGGCATGGTTCCAGGGGGGGCCTGGAAGGAACGAGCCTCAGCCCCGGTGGCAGGAATCACAGGACAGCTGGCTGAAGCCTCAGAGCCACTCACGACCGGGCCTGATGGAACTGTGTAAACCTGTCCTGTGGGCGTCCTGGAAAAAGCCCGGGGCGGCCTTGATGTCAACTCTGAGCCAAGCTGGGCAGCCCGTTCTCACAGAGCCCTCCAGCCTTCACCTGCGCTCCTGGAGGGAGCAGGGGTGCTGCCCTGTGTAAGACCCTGTCTCCCCACAAGCTCCTAGGGGACTCGAAGGAGACCAAGACCTGCCTGGCCTGGCTGCAAGCTGCAAGGTGGCACCCACAAAGCCCTCTCTGAATTCAGCCCCGGCTCCCACAGCCGGGACCCTGAGCGTCTGCGTGCCCACCCCAAAAACACAGGCATCGCAAGGCAAGTGGGGCTCAGAGCACCCCAGACCTTGCGCAAGGCCATGAGAAACTGGAAGGGCAGGACTCAGAGCGGAGCAGGACTCAGCCCAAGGCTCTGGCGCTCGCTCTTCTCTCCTCCCTCTCCTCCTCCCTTCTCTCCTCCTCTCTCCCCTCTCTCCTCTCTTTCTCTCCCCTCTCTCCTCTCTTCTCTCTGTCTCTGTCTGTCTCTGCATCTGTGTGCGCGTCTCTCTGAGTCTCTGGGCCGTGTCACCAGCCACCAGCTGTCCCCTAGGGCAGAACACCAGGCACTGGCACTGGTAAACTCCAGGCACCCCGGAAGCCTGGTCCCTGGCCTTGAATTATAAGCAGAGGGGTGGGGGGGGGGTGGCACAGTGGTGTGCAGACAACCACCCACCACCATCTCAGCACAGCTGACCTCAGCTGTTACAGAGAGCCGGCAACCGGCTGAGGGGAGGGGACCCGGCTGGCTGGGAACTTTGGTGGCCAGCCTTGCCACAGACACAGCCAGAAGGGCCACAGAAGACAACATGGCTGCACGGGAGGCGCTGGGAACCTGGGCATCAGATCACGCCCCTTTCTGAGGCTCAGACCTGGTGCTGGGCTGGGTATAAAGTCTGTGCCAGTTTACTGGAGGCTGCATCCCTGCTGGCACCGGTGGCTGCCGGAACCTGGGTGCGGGAAGGCCTGCGGGAGAGCCTGGGCCTCCCGGGCTCACTCTGAGCTCCACGGCGCCCCCACCAGGAAAGGCTGAGCAGCACGACTGAGTTATCGTTTGCCATTCCCCAAAATAGATTCCAGCCCTCCGGGCGGTCCAGGTCCCCTGCTCCAGTGCAGCAGCCTGACTCACAACACCGCCCTCTCAACTGCTAGAGCCCTGGCCCGAGAGGCCTCTGTGAACCAGATGACCACACTGACAGCTCTTCCCGCAAGAAAGTTCCAGAGGGGGGTAAAAAAAGGCAAATATAAGGGCCAATGGTTGAGCAGGGGTCTCCACGGCTCATAAGAAACTGCCTCCAGTTCCATACACAGCGAAGCTCAATCTTCTCCCACCTGAACCCTGAACTGTGTCCTCTTCTTTCCCCATCGTGGGGTCTGGCTAGGTCTCCCCAGCACAGCTCTCATCCCTGCAGCCCCTCCAGGCCAGGTTCTAGACACCAGGGAATTCCACAGACAAGCTCCCGCAAGCGGTGCCAATCCACGCAAAGGGCCAGGCCCGCGTGGCTCTGAAGCACCCCAACATTACCAGGCAGGATGCCAGGAGCTGCGCCCACGGAGCAGCAAGAACAAAACCAAAATGGAGCAGGCTATTTTTATCTGCCTGGAGATTTGTAGCTGAGGACCCCACCCCCACCCCCACCCCAACACATGCATCCTGCTAAAGGATGTCCCAGGCTCTGAGCATGCACACTCACACACTCACACTCACACACACACACACACACACACACACACACACACACACACACACACACCGTGAGCCCTTCACCCCCCCCCCTCCCCTAACCCTCCCCAAGGAGTTAAGAAAGTAGATCAGGTCAGAGCAAAGCATTCTTCATCCTGCCATCTCCCCGGGAAAAAACTAATTAGTTGCCAAATATTCAGAATGGGTAATTGCTACCTGAACTAATAAGGGCAAACAGCCGGCAAGAAAACAGTGGTTTACCAGTTCTTCGCTCTCCTCACCCCAAGTTCCAGGCTCTGCCTGCAGTGGAAGGCAGAGCTCCTGCTGATACCAGCCAGAAAGGGGCCATGACAGATGGGGGGCTGTCCCCCAAACCTGGGCCAGCCCCAGCCAGAGGCGGGTAATTTCTGTCGCCTCTTGTATACACATGGGTACCTTTACTCAAATATGTGTGCACATATACACACACATGTGCGCACACAACATATAGGGATGCACACACATGTATTTCTATGTACTATATTATAGGCACACATGCTCACATACACTCAAATGTGTGTGTACACATCATATTCATATGCACGTACATATGCATACTACATTATATACACACCACACACACAACCAGGACAAGACACCCAGAGAGAATTCATCGAACCAGGCTCCTCACGCAGGAGGGTTCCCCAAGCCGCCCGCAGCTGCTCAGCCCTAACTGGGGACACTGGGGAGAGCAAGGCAGCCGGATGAGCGGAGGGAAGGGAGAGAAAGGAGAGGAGAGGTGAGCCCAGACGGAGGGGAGCTGGGCTGGAAGGAAGCCTGAGCAGGGCCTGACCATGACGCTGACTCCACCAGCACTTCCTGGGGCCCGCGGACCCCCAAGTCTCCCCCTAGATGGGACTCGCCCTCCCCAGCCCAATCACGACCTTGCTGTGTGATTCCAAACAGATGACCTTGCCAAACCTAGGTCTCCGCTGATAGAAAAATGTGATTCCACGTGATCATTCGAAGGTTCAATCTACGGTCACCACAGCCACACCCTGCCCCTCCGCCCCTCCGTGCCACCCCCTTTGCTGGCGTGGGCCGTAGTCAGGGTATACGTCAGGAGGGGGATCGAAGCCGGGGACCATCTGCCCCCCCCCCAGCACCACAGCCTGTGAGCAGCCTCCGCCCGCCAGCGCTCCCTGGAGATGCCCCAACTGCCATGCACCTTGGCCCAAAGCAATCAGCCATGGAAATTGGGTCACCGCAGGCCACTAGGAACCCGGGGTCTCGTCCAACGATCTGCCCACGGGGTGTCGGCCTCCACGCGAAGCTGCGTGACAGAGGACTGGCTGGCATTAGTCCCACACCGCGGTCCCATCCGCTAGACGCTGGTGTGGAGTGATGCTCACACCTGCACCACGGCGGCCTTGGCCCCCTCTGGTGAGGGCGGGCTACCTCCCTGAAATGTCTTCTGCCCTCTGTCCCATGGAAACCTCCTCGGGCCTGTCCCAGACTTCTCAGCTTTGGGTTTTACAGCCATGGCTGTAATGGGGCTAATAGGCAGCTACGTGGCAGTTTGTACACATCCAGCCCCGAGGTGGGGATTGTTTTATGCATCGCAGTCAAGGTTCATATTTACAGAAAAACAAAGTCTGAAACACACTAAGTTCTCACTGTGGCCACCTCCAAGGGGCGATTTGGGGAAATATTCTTAAACTTGTAGAATGCAATCTTTGAGAAAGGAATAACCATGAGGAGAAACTTTCAAAATGAGGAGACTCCTCCAGCTCTTCTGGGGCCATTCTTGAGCTCCTACAGAACTGGCCGGGGGTCTCTCCACGGTCACCCACTGTGAGGGACAGACAGTGCGCATGTGCCCCACAGCCTGCCACTCCCAGCCAGCTGCCGGGGAGGGGGGGCCGGGGAGGACCACATGGGTCTCCCCCAGGCTCCTGGCCGATGTCTCCCGATGGCTGAATTCCGCCTAGGCCTCAGTTTGTCTCCTTGAACATCAAACGGGAAGGATGTGAGCCCTGCAGCAGGTCCCAGAGGGCAGACGAGACAGAGCAGCGTGTGCAATTGCTCAACACCATCTGGCTGCCTCCTTCCTCAAATGTGGCCCGGACACTCTTCCCTCTCAGGGGGAAAAAGAAAACCCACACGGCTTCCTCCCTGTTTCCAGCCTCCCCACACAGCCTGCCTGTCCGGCCTATCCTGGGGCTACGAGCACCTAGAGGTGGCCGAGAACATTCTAGAGGCCATTCTCCCTGAGGAAGAACCCCTGACCTACGTCAGGGCTCCAGCCAAGACCAGCACAGTTCAGAATAATTGAGCATTTAAAAATCTCCTTTGTGATCAGTGGCGGAGCAATAAACAGATCAGCCAAGGGTTCTCAACTTTTTGTTCGTTCGTTTTTCAAGAAAAACTCAATAAAACTAGGAAGACAGATGCACTGTCACTGCAGTCCCGCAGCGAGACTTGCTTTTGTTTTTGTTTTCCAGTACTGGGGCTTGAACTCAGGGCTGGGTGCTGCCTTTAGCTTTTCCCCTCAAGGCTAGCTGTCTGCCACTTGAACCACAGCTCTCCACCTCTGGCTTTTTGCTGGTTCCTTGGAGATAAGAGTCCCACAGACACGTCTGCTCCGGCTGGCTTTCAACCTCAGTTCTCAGAGGTGAGGCTCGAGAAGCTAGGATTACAGGCGTGAGCCACCAGCTCTGAAGTAAACTGGACTTGTAAAATAATCCCGGGGGTGTTTATGGAGTTCACTAGTTAGAGCCTCCATGTGTGTGCTCCTCCCCCATGGCTGTGGGGAGGGCCCCGGGGGGGGGGGGGGGTGGACCAGGACACCCAGCCAGGCTTCCACAGAGCTTAGAGGGGTTGGTGTGCTGGCCTCCCCGTTGGGGCTGCCAGGCCTGGACACCCCTCTGGACGCTCACCTGTCCTCCTGCCGGCGTTCCCAGGCCACCTAGGTACAGCACTTAGAATCTCAAGTGCCTACTCCAGAAACATCAAAGAGGGCATTTCCACTGCGCCCTTCACCCGGTGACCTGGAAAGTCCAGAGAGCTTGCAGGAAGTGACACAGGAAGTCCCGCCCCCAGAGAGCTTTCAGGATGTGACGTGAGAGGTTGGCTCTGATCAGTGTCTCACTGTCCCACCAAAACCTCCATGGCTCAAATTCTGTTTCTTGGGCCGGTGAGATGACTCTGCCATTGCAGACAGGCAGCTAGGATGCCTGTACCAGGACTCACACGTGTGTGTGTGTGTGTGTGTGTGTGTGTGTGTGTGTGTGTGTGTGTGTGTGTGCCACTTGAACCACAACTCCACTTCCAGCTTTTTAGCTGAAAGGTAAGAGTCTCCTAGATTTTCCTGCCCAGGCTGGCTTTGAAACACCATCCTCAGATCTCAGCCTCCTGAGTAGCTGGGCTCACAGGCGTGAGCCACCGGCGCTGCTCACCCCGTCTCGCGGCTCGGGGAGCCTCACACCTCCAGTCTGCGTGGAGCACTTGTAATTTTAGAAACGCGGCCGACGGTGGGTAGCAGCACACCCTCCGAGTCCCCCAGCCCGGCCCCTGCCCAGGCTGCGGATGGCAATATTTTTAGGCCCTATTCAAGTTACCCACCCTGGCTGCCAATGAAATATTAATTAAAGGTTACACTTTCAGCTTTCAGAAAAATAATTGCTCAAGATAGCAATTATATTTTTTGTGTAATAAAACCGCACCTTGCTGTGCAGTGGAATTAATAATTCTGAGCCTCTTGTTACAGGGGCGCCATCAAAGCGGGAAGAGGAGGCGCGCCGGGAGGGAAGCGCAGATTCACAAAGAAAAGTGGTGACTTCAAAGAGCAGCCGTCTACAGTCAGGGCTGGGGACGTTCCTCAAGGTCTTTAGCTCCTCGGGCTGGCTGCAAGAGTGGCCCAATTACAAATTATCCAGAGAGACAGAAATTAGAACAGGCCAGGCCACAGCCAGCCGCTGGCCGGCCTCGGCTCACCTGCACCTGTCCATCCACAGCTCCACCGATTCCTCCCAAGGAACTCAAAGCTCAGGACAGCTGAGTTCACAGCTTTCCAGGCCATCCCTCAGAGAGAAAGACAAGGACAAACAGCAATCAAAATAGCTACCTCCTAGCCAGGAACGGTGGCTCGTGCATATAATCCATAGCGACTCAGGAGGCAGAGATAGAAGGATTGCTAGCGGAGGCCAGCCCAGACCAAAGCACAAGAACTTACCTACCTGGAAAACAAACACAAAAGGTGAATGGTCAAGGGACAGCACGCTTGCCTAAGGTTGTGAGTTCAAGCCCCAGTACTGCCTCTACAGCGAGGCCGCCCTGGAGGCCGGCACGGATAACACCACGGCTGGGGTCCTCTGGGAGGGCAGCGGGACCGGCAGAGGTCGGGCAGCGAGAGCAGCGTGGAGCCCGGGCCCCACGCTCCCTCACTCAGGCCCTCCACTGCTGTGCCTGAGCGCCAGGCTCTAGGCACTAACCGGAAGCCTGCGGGAGGGTCCAGGCTGGGTTGTAGTAAAGCTCTGAATTCCTTCCCAGGTGTGCTGAAGGGACTGAGGGCACTGGGCGAGCAGATGGGCGTCGGAGGGCCTCACACCCCGTGACCTCTCGCTCCATGTCACTTCTTTAAACAACATCCACGTGCCTGGGCCGGGCCCCTCCATTGTACCCCACCCCACCCCGGCAAAGGGGCCCTGAAGCCGCCAGCTCTTTCTGGCTCCTAGTTCATCCAAGAACACCCCTCCCCTTGACATGCGTGAGCCCCAGAACCCAGACCGTGGAGCTGCGCAGGCCTCCTGGCCGCCAGCCTCCCCCAGCCTCGACCACAAAGCCTCCATGGGTAGACAAAGGCCCAGCAGCAGGGGTGCATTTGGGGTGCACACCAGTGAGACAGCAGCCTTAGTCAGACAAAGGCCTGATTCCCAGAGCTCTTCAGGAGCCCCTTGGCCACCCCCCACCCCAACATTACCCGTGAGAGGGGGAACAGCAGAGATAACGACGGCCACACCAAGGAGGAGCGGAGGGGTGCTAGCTGAGGAGGCTCGGGCCGGGGAGGTCTCCTGGCACAGTGCCCTTCTGGGCCCCAGCCTGGCCTGCTGCAGACCCCCAGGGGGGAGCTAGAAAGTTCTGGCATGCTCTAGGTGCTGCCAAAGGTCCTGAGGCACTAAGATCCATAGCAGCCTACAGGCTTCCTGGGGAAAGCTGAGCACGCAGTGCCAAGGCTCTTCCTGCAGGCGTGCCAGGGATGGAGGGCTGAGGGCAGGGGTGACATGCTGCCCATCCCCGCCCCAGGGCAGCGCCAGGGCCCTGCTCTGAGGACAGCCACAGCCCCAGCAGCTCAGAAGACCAGGGAGCCTAGGCCAGGGCTGCCCAGGAGCAGGGCCTGGGGCCCTGGCCTTGCCACCCACCACAGCCGGGCGGTAAGAGGGAGTGGGGACACCCTGAGGACTGAAGATGGTCCCTGCGGTGTGTGAACCCCTCTGCGGTGTGCGGACCTCACCATCCTGGCCCTAGGAGGAGAGAATCTGCTTAGGACCCCCAGGTGGGAGAAGGGCTGTGTCCAGCTAAGGAAAAGCTGCTGTGTAGCCCAGCCGAGCCTGATGGACGGGCCTCGGGCTCTGCCTCTGCGCAGACGAGGAGACAGGCACCACATAGGCAAGGCGCCCCTTCCCGAGCACTGGTGACTCCCCGTGCAAGCCAGGCGCTTAGGAGCTCACAGGGGACGAGTGCAGAGACGCTGTGACTACAGGGCACTCCACGGCAGCAACCAGCCCACATCACGACGCAGAGCCCGGGCAGAGGGGCCTGGTGTGAGCTCAGGTATGGGCCAGGGGGCAAAGAAGGAAGACTGGGGTGGGGGTGTCATCAGACGCAGATCCCCACACAGCTAGGCACAGAGGACTCAGTGAGAATGTCTCACTGCACTCCAGGTCCCCAGGAACCAGACCCCTGGCTCACCCAGGACGCCCCTGTGAGCAGCCACCCAGATGAGGAAGTGGAGCTGAGAGTTCCAGTCTGGAGCCCTTGCTGAATTCCCCTGCCAGACGCCAGAGGCAAAGAGGAACCTTGGCTCACCGGCCACCTGCACCAGCACCTCCAGCCGGACCACAAACACAGGGCATCTGAACACCCAGAGCCGGCGCCCGAAGCAGGTTCCTCTTCTAGGCCCCAGATCTCTGCTAAAACTTCAACCCCCCCACACACACACCTGCTGCCCCTCCCTTCCCATAGCCTCTCCCCAGCCCCAGTTCATGCTCAAGACCCCACCCAGCCCTCCTCCTCCTCCACCAACCACCGTATGCTGTCCTGCTGCTTCCCCGTCCAGCTCCATCCGGGACAAACTGCAACTCCCCACACCCCCAAGTTCTCCTCACCTCAAAGCCCTGCCTCTCCTCATTGAAAAAGCCCCACTCACCAGGTGCCAGGGCTCACACCTGGAATCCTCGTCACCCACAAGGCAAGTATCTGATAATCGCGTTCAAAGCCAGCCCAGGCAAACAACTCTGAGAGACTCTTCAGTTCACCAGCAAAAAGCCAGAAGAGGAGCTACAGCTCAAGTGGTAAAGCACCAGCCTTAAGTAAAAAACGCCAAGCAAGACTGGAAGGCCCCGAGAGGCCCTGACTTTGAAGTCCAAGTACAACAACAAACATGACCTTTCTACTTTGCCTTGCAGCGCTAAGGATGGAACTTAGGGTCTTCAGATGCTAAGCAAATGCTCTACCACTGCCATGCACTCTGAAATCACCTCTTTTGGATTAAGCTTATATTGTTCCTGTTACTGCTGGGCCTAGACAAAATCCTTCCCCCTTCCACTCCTAGGCCTGGCCCAGCACCCAGCTACCCCCAATTTGTGCATGCTGCTAATCCCACTGGAAGAGGCTAACATGGCTTCAAGCAGATCCCTGCAGGCATATTTATAATGCAATGTGCCAAGAAGCCAAGCACTGCACACTATAAACAAATTGTATCGTTTGTGAATCTATCCAGTAAAACTCTTTATAGAACAGTTTATAGGACTCAAGGCCTTCCACTGGCTAGGCAAGCATTCTGCCACTACCCACACCCACACTCACAGGAAAGGAAGTGTGTGTATTTTGCATGCTCGCATGCATGCATGCACACACACACACACACATGTGCATGCATACATACACCACACACACACACACACACACACACACACACACACACACACACACACACACACACACACACATGCTCGAGTTCTGTTACCAAGGCTTAAACTCAGGGCCTGGGCACTGGTCCTTAGAGTTCTTTCTGCTCAAGGCTGGTGCTCTACCACTTGAGCCATAGCTTCACTTCCAGCTTGTTCAGTGATTCACTGTAGTTAAGAGTCTCATGGACTTTCATGACTTTGAACCATGATCCTCACATTTCAGCCTCAAGAGTAGGTAGCATTACAGGCGTGAGCCATTGGTGCCCATCTCTAGAGGAGATTTTTAAGGAGGTAATAGTAGCCCCGTGCGCTAGAGTTTCTAGGTGAGGTCCGAGTCTGCAACGCTGCTGACAGCTGACCACAGGGAGCGGCAGGAGTGAACAGGACCAGGACGGGCTACCATATAAATAGACCTCAGACAGCATTTCATTTCTTCTTCATAATAACAACCCTATGAGACTAAAGGGTATTTTTTTCATTTATTTTATGGGCCAGAGAAGTCATAGAAAAGCTAAGTGGCTTGAGTGAAAGTGTCTGGAGCAGGGCGCAAGCCCTGGGTGATGGGATGGGCGCCCCGACCCTGGCTTGGGAAATGAGAAGCCGGCGTGCTGCAGGGCAGACTGAGCTCCTGCTGTGGCTCCTGGTCCAGCAGCAATCACACCTGCAGGCAGGGGTGGGCACGAGGGCCTACAGGTGGCACAAAGACATCCCGCCATCCTTGAGGACTGCGAATTTCTGGATCTGCTTGGGCCAGGGAGAGCCCGTGCTGGGGGCATGAGCTCCCTGGCGGCCAGAGTACTGAAAGGTGAGCTTCTCAGCAGCAGACACCTGAACTCATTACTGGCCCGAGCAAAGAGACACAGGA